TTTTCTGCTTTGATTTGTGTAATTTGTTTGGACCTGAGTTGCATGTAAAGATCATTGGCGGGCATAAATATGGTAACTCCTACACCCCAAGGGGATGAATTTTGAAAAACAGCTTAGAAGTCACCATTTCTATGTGTCCAGCTGATGGACCCCCTAATTGCCAAGGGGAGGGAATTACCATTGTGCAGCTTGGGGTTGTGAAACTGTATCAACTAAAGGGTGGAAACTTGTTAAAGAATACCCTGATATTACTTGTGAAAGAATGAAACTAGTCTGAGGGTTTGATCCCGCCACTTGTATGGTTTTCAAATGTAACCCAGTAAGAATTGGATTCAAGTGTTATTGGGAACAGAAGTGGTTCACTGGGAAAACGTGGTGAATTCAACTTTATGTAAACGGTAGAGATCCCGGGACAGCCTTTACGATCCAGAAAAGTAAAATATGGCAGCCTCCCATCCCTATAGGCCCAAACCTAGTGATAAATCCTGAAGAGCCACAGCGACGTGTCACTAAGATTCCTTTGCCGTACCCTTCAGACTCTTCAGTAACGTTCCCGTTCCCCGCCAACCCAACTCAAAGGGCCTTCTCATTCAGGAGCCACCTCAAGGTTCTGTGTTTAATACTCTGGATTCTGTATTCCAATTTACGAACTCAACAAATCCTAACCTCACGGCTGATTGTTGGCTTTGTCTGAACCCTGCTCCCCCTTACTATGTAGGCATAGGTAAAAACAGCACTATTGGTAAAGACTGTGATCAAATTAAAAATGTTAGTATGAAGGATTACACTAAGCAGCAGTCAGTCTGTAGGTGGGGTCAGAACGGGCCCAATTCTAAGCTCACTTTAGAATATTTGCATGGGCAAGGACTGTTTTTTTTATTCATCGTATTACCCCTTAAATATATCAAGGTATCGAGATTTTTGCCTTTAAGTTGTTCCTATTGAACCAAGTGTTGATCCTTATTTGTTATTAGCTCCAACGGGTCCTTGGTTTGCTTGTTCCGCAGGACTAACAACCTGTCTCTTTTCCCTAATATTAGCAGCGGACTCGGGTATTTGTGTGCTAGTGCATGTTATTCCTCAAGTGTACCTGTATTCTGGTGAAGGAGGTAGGGATCACACTGGAATTTCTGGATGAGTTAAAAGAGCTGCAATTTTGGACTCAATGTTAAGCAGGGCTTGAAATTGCGGGAACAGCTGCAGTAGGGTCCGCTGCTTTAACACAAGGAAACAAACTATCAGACTCTTAGTTAGCAAATTGATTTAGATTTACAAGGATTAGAAAAATCAGTTTCCCATTTAGAAAAATCCTTAAACTCCCTTGGAAAAGTTGTGTTGCAAAACCGCCAAGGGCTTGACTTGCTCTTTTTGAAACAAGGAGGGCTGTGCATGGCATTGGGAGAAACTTGTTCTTATGTAAATCATTCAGGAATCATTAAAAATAGTTTAGCCCTGGTTAGGAAAAAAATGAGAGGAATGAGACAGGAAATGAAGCAACCAATTGGCTTGAAAAGTTATTTAATTGGTCACCCTGGCTAACTACCCTAGTAACGGCCCTAGCCGGACCCCTAATCCTCCTCCTGTTAAGCCTCACATTTGGACCAATAATCAATAAGCTAGTGGCATTCGTTACACAGAAAGTACAACCCATAAAACTCTTAGTGCTGAGCCCACCATACACCTGGCTGGTGACAGCAGTTTCAATGATTTGAACTTGGCTAAGAACAGGATGGAATGTAGTAGCTCTAGGAAAAGCTTAAACAGCCTTGACAAGAGTGGAGCCATTTTGAGCTGACAGAAGCCATTATGAACTATAAATGAACTAGCTATGAACTATAAACGAACTAGCTGATATTAGGGAGGCAGGCTGTGCTGACAAGCGCAACGGACTATACGGAAGGAAATGTATGTTCAGAAGGCTTGGAGAACTAAGAGCAGTGATTGTTCAACTAAGAATGGCTAACCGCAGTATCCTGCTTCTGTACTCTGCTTGCTTGCACACCTGCATATTGCAAAAGTTTAAAACCTTTGGAAAATTAGACAGGCTACTGCTCAGTCTCCTCTCAAAGAGGGCTGACGGTTCCTGCG